GACTTCTCGCCCCTCACTGAGGGGCGTGTGTGTGCGGAGTGGCAGAAATACCTGTCACCACAATTAGTAGCAGGGGGCAGTGGACCGCCATCACTCACTGCCCAACGAAGACAGTGATGGTTTGGTCGTGAAATCCGGAAGGGACGCCTTCTGGACGTACCTGCAATTTGAGAAAGTCGTGATGTTCTGAACGTCCTTTTGGTCCCTCCCCTGAACCGCTGTTGCTTCTCTGTCTCCCTGTTGAAGTAACTAGAGTGAAGCCGAGTGACCTGCCAGCCGAGCCTTATCCGACTTGAGACTTGTCAGTTGTACTCGAGCCTCATCAGTTGTACTCGAGACTCATCAGTTGTACTCGAAAGATTAGCACCCTCCATCTGGAGTTTAAGTGTGTTGCTTTTAGGGAAACGGACAGCACACCTTGCATTCCTTTCCGGGCGTCTCCAATTTTTCTCCGGCGGAGCCAACCCCCACATTTTGTTGGCCTCCACGAAAGGATGGCATGGGTTCCATGTTGACAAACGCAGTATTCATTCACGCCAAGGGTTGTGGGTTTGCAGGCATTTATCCCCACGGTGATGCAATAGAATCTCCCGCTTTATATTGGCTAGGCCCCCCAATAGTGCCCTTGTACCCTTTTTGAGGGGAGGGTTCCCCTACCAAAATAGACAACAGAAAAAAGGGTACCCTTATTCTAACCTCTCTACTGGAGGACCTAATTGGGGTTCGTCTTTGGGAAGCCCGAATTTGTTGTATCACAGCTTGGTGGATTCCGTTTCAACCACCGCCCTTCAGCCCGGCTTAGGAGCCCTTCGACTTTATGGACTCCCTGCGCATCGCTGCACGGGTGCCGACTCAGCCCTGAGCCGCGCTGCCGCTTCGACCGTTCGACGGTTCGACGGCGGGCGAAGGGACCCGGTGGTCGGTCCGATGGGCCGTCTCCATATTAGGCTCAAAAAGATGTACCCAAAATGGGTCCTAGGAAAATGGAAACAAAGACCAAACCCTGCGTAACCCTAGCTCTTAAATTTTGAGCCACACCCATATGTTTCTTGGTTTCATGAGATTTGGAGGGTTGCTTTTTTTTTGGAAAGCTCCTGTTCTGCTCCTGCCGGGTCCCTGTTTTGGACCATTTTCCTCTAAACCCCTCTTTCAATGTCCATGCTTATGTTTTTGGTAGAAAATGCTCTCCTTCCCTTGCTTTGTTGGTTGCTTTGCTTTTCTCCTCCCCTCTTGAACCAAGAAGCATCATTGTGCACGAAACTTTGCCGGTCTCCCGTCCGCTGTCTACCTGACAGACCCCAATGCAAATCGTCGCGTGATCTGAAGGCTTCAAGGCAGATTGCCACCAAAGAACGCATCTTAAACGAGGCGAAGCTCCAAACATATGAGACCTGAATGACCTGCAAAAAGCACAGCCGACTTTCGAGAGTTATCGCTGAGCTCTGGGGATCGACAAAATTTTCCGTTTCGCGCAGCACCTAAGACGCCCTGGAAGGATGTTTCGATTGTGAATATAAACTAACAATGGTTTCAACCATGGTTTCAAAGTGGTGCGAAATGGATTTTGTCCATGGTTTCCCTGGAAATTTTCAAACATGATTCCATCTCGTGGTGCGAACCAATTTCGCAACCATGCACAGTATGGGGAGTTTCTTTTAGCCGCGTGAGCGCCCGGCGGTTTCGCCATGCCGCTGTGGGAGGCGGGAGAGGGAAGATGATAATGGGTGAGGACTTGACAAAGGAAAGGATGCATTCTCTTTCTCTTTGTCCCATTTCTCTCCGTCCCTTCGCTCCATTAACACTCCAACATAAGAACCGAGCGAAGGGAGGGCTATATCTCTCTATTTTTGGAGCCTTCCGGCACCGCTACAGAAAGGGAATGAAGGAAGAAGGAAAAGAGTGGGACGGACGGATGAATTTCCGAGGCCAAATGATTTCCAATTGAATGACCGTCCGGAAGCTTCTCACTTCCCCAGCTCCCACCTCTTAGTTTGGAGAATTATGGGAGATGGAAGGGAAGTGATACAAACAGATGGTATTTCTCATTGCAAAGATGGGAGAGACAACAGATGAAAGGAAAGAGATGCTCGTGCTCTCTCAAATGCAATGACAAAGGGAGACAGCATGAGATGGAGAAAGGAATAGATGGTCGTGCTTCTTCTATCTCTTCCTCAATGCACGACCAAGAGAGACATTCCTTTCACCACACCATCTCATCCCATTATCTCCTCCCTTTCTTTTTCCGTTCATTCTTCACTCCTGAGGAAGATAATGAAGGGATGAGATTGTGATGGTTACCTGTCTCCTCTCGTTATCTTTTCCAGAATGAGATTAATAGGAGAAGACAGCCGGGTGATAGAGATAAAGGGAAGGAATGATTCTCTTCTCTTCTTCCATCACCTTCCATCTCTCTCATTTCCCTGTCTCCCTCATCCTATGACAGCTTCTGGATGCGATGCGGAAAGGAGATAGGAAGGAACCTTAAGATACTCCTCAAGTAGGGATAGTGACTTTATCTCGATACACATGTTGCCATTATTGCTAATGGGAGCCACCTCAAACGTAATTGTCTTCCCATACAGGGTGTACAAGTGGGCCTAGCTGAAAGTGGCTACAGTTTGTGGGGTTCCCCACATGTCTTTTGGGGGGTCTTTGGCTTGAAGCCACCATGTAGAGTGCAAGTCATGTTGAGGATGTCACTTCGAAACCTTTCAGCGGAGCAGCGGAACTTCTTCGATCAACAGGTTGTGTCAGAACCGGTCTATGGCTGTGGGTCGAAGTGAAACAACCAGGGGACCGCAGGTTTTAGTCTATGTTTCCTTCTACCAGGGTTCCATTTTGGGTACCTATTTTGGACCCACAGCCACATTATTACATTCCCTCGGCTGGAGATAGCCTGTATAAGATGTGCAGGTGCATCTAAGCTATTCAGTATGTAAGAGTACATTGTCAAAGGAAGTTTAGCAAAGGAAGTTTAGAAGGAACTTCCGTGTTACGGCAACTAATTGAAAGCTAGCTCTCTGAGACAGATGACAAGAGAAGGAATAAGCCCGCGAGACAATATGCGTGCGCGTGTGGTGGGAGAATAGAAATGTGCAAAAAGCATGGCCCTGTGCGTGAGTTGGCGTCTCCGGAGGCGCCTGGTCGGACCAGTCTCGGACCACGTTCGGGCCACTCTCGGAGCGCCGGCCCATTGGCGCGGCAACGCGAAGGTTTCGCAAGGTCTGAATTGCGTGGCAGGCGCAGCATTTTGGCAAGGTCGGGTGCAGATTTCGTGGCAGGCACATCACTTTCGCAAGGTCAAGTTTTCTTAAGGTTTGAATTGCGTGGCAGGCGCAGCATTTTGGCAAGGTCGGGTGCAGATTTCGTGGCAGGCGCATCACTTTCGCAAGGTCAAGTTTTCTTAAGGTTTGAATTGCGTGGCAGGCGCAGCACTGTCGCAAGGTCAGGTGCAGATTTCGTGGCAGGCGCAGCACTTTCGCACAGTCAAGTACAGATTTCGTGGCAGGCGCATCGCTTTCGCAAGATCAAGTACAGATTTCGTAGCAGGCGCAGCGCTTTCGCAAGGTCAATTACGGATCTCGTGGCCGGCGCAGCACTTTTGCAAGGTCAAGTTCAGATTTCGTGGCAGGGGTAGCACTTCCGCAAGGTCAAGTACAGATTTCGTTTCAGGCGCAGCACCCCCACAAGATCAAGTACAGATTTTGTGGCAGGCGCAGCACTTTCGCAAGGTCAAGTACAGATTCCGTGGCAGGGACAGCACCCCCACAAGATCAAGTACAGATTTTGCGGCAGGCGCAGCACTTTCGCAAGGTCAAGTGCAGATTTTGTGGCAGGCGCAGCACTTTCGCAAGGTCAAGTACAGATTTCGAATAGGGAGGTGGGGTAGAGAGATGATCATGTGGATGATAGAGAAATAGAGAGATAGGGATGGATGGATGGATGGATGGATGGATGGGTGGGTGGATGGATGGATGGATGGATGGATGGATGGATGGATGGATGGACAGATAGAGAGATAGATAGATACACGGGAGATAGATGGAGAGAGAGAGAGAGAGAGAAACACGAGAGATAGATAAATAAATAGATAAATAGAGAGCTAAATGCATAAACAGATAATAGATCGATAGATATATACATAGATAGAGAGACGATAGATAAAGAGATAGATAGATAGATAGATAGATAGATAGACAGATAAATAGAAAGACAAGTAGATAGAGAGATAGATAGATGGATAGATAGATAAGAAAGAATGAAAGATAGATAAATGGATAGATAGATAGGTAGATAGATAGATAGAACGATGGAGAGTTAGATAGATTGATAGAAATTTAAATAGACAGACAGGTAGATAGATACAAAGAGAGATAGAGATTTACAAAGAGAGATAGATAGACACATAGAGAGAGATAAATAGATAGAGAGGAGATAAAAGAAAGAGCGCAAAACAGGCAAAACGAAAGAATTGAAGGAAGAAAGACAGAATTACGGAACAAAGAGAAACCGTGAAAAGGAAGAAGAAGAGAAAACAGAATCAAGAAAAGAAAGGGAAAGAGAAGTATAGTGTTTATATTTTTGAAACTTCTGCCCACCGGCTTCGCCGGCTCTACTGGCATGTTGGGCACAAAAGCCAAGGGGCATGTCGTTTTTCCCCCTGCCCTGTTGCCCGCAGTGTCGTCGTCTTCTCTTTGTATTTTCTTCAAGGTGATGAAGAAGTCGTGGGAATCAACGATGTTATCACAGATTTCGGGTGGTTTCTACCGCCAAGGCACAAGAAGGTGGATGAAAACCATTGAGATACCCAGCCACCAACGCCCGTTTTGGCCTTCACATGTTTTCTCCTGTGAGGGACCCCTTCGAAGGGCTGGTTTCCTTGTGGTTTTCCCTACAAAAAAACCAAAACAATGGGCACTCACCCAATGATATACGCGCACACAAACGCACACCCCGCACGAAAAGAGATGTGTGGACCAACCGGGCACGCGACTGGTCAGGTGGTGGGAGGCGCCGCAGGGGGCGGCATCGTGGTGCGGGAAGGCCGACAAGCGGAACGGAGCGGCGGCCGGGCTGGTGATTTTCTAGGGAAAACAAGCATTTTAGGCTTTAGAGTGAAACCAAAATGGGAGGAGCCAGCGGAAGTCAGCGCGTGAGCCACGTGACCGAACCCAAGTTTCTATCATCAGCCTCAAACTGGGCCAAGGGAAGCTACCAAATCGCCCCATGTTCGGGGTCCCAAATCTCGGCCGCCACAGCGCGCGGCAGGGGAGAAGCTAGCTTCCCCGGAGCTGGCGCGACTGGGTACCGGCGCGGTGGTGCGAGAGAAGGCGGGGGGTTGTGGGGGGTTTGACCGTTGGCTTGCTTTTGTGGTTGGCCTGGTGGGGAGGGGTGGGGCTTGGGCTTGGGCTTGGGCTTGGGCTTGGGCTTGGGCTTGGGCTTGGGCTTGGGCTGGGCTGGGCTGGTTGGTTGGTTGGTTGGCTGGTATTTGGAGGGCGGGATTGATGGTTTTGATTTTGGTTCTGGTTGGGGGGTGGGGCAACTGGTGGGGAAGGGAGCGCTTTTCGTGGTGAGGTCTGTTGTTTCCTGGATATGACGAAATCCGTTCTTTCTTCAGGCAAATCCCGTATTGGTGGCTTGGATGTGTGGTTTGGGGATTCGAACCCCTTGGAGAACCGCAAACCTCCAAATCACCAATCCAAAGCCACCAAGTAGAGGGGGGATCTCCTGTTCGACGTTTGCTTCTTCCTGGACGTGATGAAATCCGCTTTGGGTGTTGTCCCCAAGGCCGACGCTTGGTTTCAGGGTTCCTCTTTTTTTCTTACTTCAAGGAGGAATGTCTCAGGGGACAACGGATTGCTTGCGCTTGTTTTGGCTGCTCATTTGCTTTGAGTGGATCTTCAACCTTTCACTGTTTGTGGGATTCTTTTCCCCAGACCATCATTCCCCAGACAGCTTTGTTTGCGCCTGAAGGCGCAATCATGGAAGGCGCAATCATGGGCATGTCTTTGCTCTCTGGGGTCTATGCTGGTGTAATCTTTTGTGGAAAACTCACGTTTTGACCCGAACTCCCCCTCTCAGGAGCTCAAGGCCGACCGGCTGCACTTCGAGTTGGTGTGCGGGGAGGGTCCGGCCAGCGGCTGGGTCAGCCTCAAGATGAAGGCCTTCTGTGCAGCTGTCCTGAACCAAACGCCGGGTTTCCCATGCTGATGCTGCTTTTGACCCCCGTTTTTCAGGATCACTAGGGTACAAACTTGGGCATTTATTATCCTTTTAGGCGCACTCTTGCAGCTGACGAGGATCCAAATCCTGGTTTAAAGTGACAGGCACGCCGGGTTCAAGTGGAAACTGGGTGCTTTTTTGGTTTTCAGCGTAGAAAGCCCCCCTTCCAAGGAAAAGGGCCGGGAAAAATGCCAAACGCATGATTTGAGCAGCTTTCAGTTTCGAGGATGTGGCTCTCTCGATTCGTTGAGCTTATCGACAGGGCCGTGACCTGGTGGTGAAATGCGAAGGCAAGGGACGGGGAGAGGGAGAGGAGTATTTCGATGGCCCCTTTTTTGGTTTTTGTTTGTCAATGGGAACCCTGGAAAAAGGCAGACTTCTGGTTGACTTTGATTGGGGGGTTCCACCGTAATATCACTTTTGGGACAACAAATTTGGTGCCGTAGTTTATTCCTCAGTTGGTTCCTAGCACGCAACCCGGAGAAGCAATCCGGCCAAAAGTGGGACGAATCCTGAACATTTTTTTATTATTATTTTATTGTATAATAATAGTAACAATCATAATAATAACAATAATAATAATATTAATAATAATAATAATAGTAATTAATAACACTAACAATATTAATAACAATAACACTAATAATATTAATAATAATAATATTAATAATATTAATAATACTAATAGTATTATTAATAATAATATTAATATTCATAATAACAATAACAATATTAATAACAATAACAATCATAATAGTAATAATAATAATAACAATAGTAATATTAATAATAATAATAATAATAGTAATAGTAATAATAATAATGATAATAGTAATATTAGTAATAATAATAATAATAGTAATACTAATACTACTACTAATAATAATAATATTAATAATAATATTATTAATAATAATAATAGTAATAATGATAATAATAACAAAAACAATAACAATAACAATAACAATAATATTAATAACAATAACAATAATATTAATAATAATAATAATAATAATAATAATAATAATAATAATAATAATAATAATAATAATAATAATAATAATGATAATAATATTAATATTAATAATTACAATAACAATATTAATAACAATAACAATCATAATAGTAATAATATTACTACTACTAATAATAATAATGATAATAATAATAATAGTAATGATAATGATGATAATATTAATGATAATAAAAAAACATGATATATATATATATAAACATTATATATATATATATATATATTTATTCCGCACAAAAGGGGAGGATAAATCCCTCTGAAGGGCACGGTTGATCCAGGCTGGGTTTCAGGGCGGTCTGTGGTAGCTCGGGGGCTTCCTGGTTTTGTGTCAAAGTGGTCAGTGGTGGCCACCTTGGCGACTTCCGGTCATTCTCCACCGTTGGCATAGTCCAAACCACCCACTAGAGGGAAGCTGAGGTTTGGTGGGTGTCAAGGAACCTTGCTAGGGGGAAGAGTGAACCCGGGGCAGCTCGGTTTGTGTGGCGGTTTGATCAAACCCCGAGCCGGGGGCCGAACCGGGCCTTCGGGGATCCTTTTTCGCAGGTACCCGGCCATTCTGGCTGAAGCCGAGCCGGGTGAAGGGCAGCGTGCTGTTTCTGTCCATCCCCTGGAAGGTGGGGTTGCTGAGTTCCTTTGCCAGGTGGAGAGTTCCTGAGCTTGAGCTGAGCTGGGCTTTTTTTATAGCCAAGTGGATATTTTTGTGAAGATGGGGTTGGTTGGCGGGTGGGTTGGGAGTGGGTTGGAATAGGTTGGGATGGGTTGGTTTGGGTTGGTTGGTTATTTAGCAGGCTGACGCCTGATGCCGCCGACCCCCGTAACAGCATCACACACGTTGGAGAAACTCTGGCCCTTCTCCGTCTCTCAGCAGGTTAGAGGTTGGGGTTAGAGGTTAGGGTTAGAGGTTAGGGTTAGAGGTTAGGGTTAGAGGTTAGGGTTAGAGGTTAGAGTTAGAGGTTAGGGTTAGAGGTTAGGGTTAGAGGTTAGGGTTAGAGGTTTGGGTTAGAGGTTAGGGGTTAGAGGTTAGGGTTAGAGGTTAGGGTTAGAGGTTAGGCGTGTCAAAAATCCGCTGCGGGACCCCCCCTCCCCCCCTCAGACTCCCCCTAACCACCACTTAGAACACGCCTCGCCCCTTTGCAGAGACTAACTTTGCTTTTGCAAAGGGGTCGGCGGATTTGGTTGATCAGTCGGTTGGTTGGTGGGTTGAGATGGTTTCAAGTCAGAGGGCATGTTTTTCTTTAGCGACTTGTGTTGTTTGTTCGTGGCTCAGCAA